AGAGAGAGAGAGAGAGAGAGAGAGAGAAAGAGAGAAAGAGAGAAAGAGAGAGAGAGAGAGAGAAAGTATCGCCCCATGCGAGACATTAATTTTCGCATCTGGAATTTATCGCGGCTACCACCACCATCCTTCCGGGTTAGCTAGAAGGATAAGGGAAGAAAGGAAGGAAGGAAGGAAGGAAGGAAGGAAGGAAGGAAGGAAGGGAGCATAGGAACGAAGATTTCAAGCGTCGGATTCGTAACGCGACTCGCGAAACGTTCTGAATTATTTCCGATCCTCGAAAACGTGTTCATCTTCCGTTGAAACGTAAGAAGGAAATGGAAGAGAATATATATCTATGTAATGATATTAAAACTAATGGTACGGAAATAATGTAAAAATTTTTCGGGGCGTCAATTTCTTCGTTAATATATCAAATAAAAGTCTCTCGTAAAATGTTCACGTTTTTTTTTTTTCTTTATCGTTATCAATTACGTTGATTGTAAAATAAGTGAATCGAAAGTTGGTAAGATGCCGTCCCTCGGAACGGCAAAGTATAGTTTCAATCACAGAGCGACCGTAAGCGGATCTTTCTGGCTCGTAAGCGATTCGAGTGGGCGAATATCGCCGACAGGCACGTATGAGGAAAGTATCGGTGCCCTGTGTCGTTTTGGATTGGGTCTGCGAGATGCGTTATTGTCCGACAAAGAGAGAGAGAGAGAGAGAGAGAGAAAGAGAGAGAAAGAGGAGAGGAGAGAAGACACAAGAGGAGAGAAGAGAGCCAATTTGCGAGCGGTCCTCCTATCGGAATTAAAGTCATAAAATCGCGGACTAATAGCCTTGTTACGTTAATTCAGTGTAATGTCGCGCAATAAAGATAAACGTAAGAGCGCGCGTATGCGCGCCCGCAACGAGACTGGCATAAATTTAATTTAACGACGTAGAAGGACGAAGATGGGAAAGCGCCTTAAGAGGGATGAGAGGATGAGTGAGTGACTGACTGACTGAATATGTAAGAGAGAAAGAGAAAGAGGAAGCTCATCCCAAGGAGAGAAGCGTTAAGGTCCCTCTTGATTGGATCCCTCGACTCTACCCTACGACATTTCATCGAACGCTACCTTGATTTATTTCCCTCGAATAAAAATACAGCTTGCTCCGACGACAACGACTACGACAACGACAGCTTTCATGGATCATCAGTATTTAAATTTAGGCGAGCAAAATTTGTTGGATAGATCCATTGATTTATTATGTTTCAAATGTATGATATTATTATTGTTTGTATTGATTCGATTCGACGAAAGAAAAAAAAGAAAGAAAAAGAAAAAAAAAAAACAAAAAAAAAGAAAAGGATAACTTCTTTTTTCTTTCTTTTTTTTCTTTTTTTCTTTTTCTTTTTTTTTTTTTTTTTTTTTTTTATTTCTCGAAGACTCTTATATGATTTTACCTCGAAACGATAAAGTCTTCTCAACTGATCCATCGAATCATCATAATTATGCGATCGCTGTATCAGCTAGAATGAAATTTCTTGGAAACGACACCAAATGCTATATCATTTACTCTCGTGATTTATAATACTTCGTTAAGCTATCACTAATTTTATTTCGTCTTTTTCTTTTTCTTCTTCTTCTTCTTCTTCTTCTTCTTCTTTTTTTTTCTTTTTTTCTTTTTTTTTTTTTTACGAAAACAAAGAACATCTCGATTATTCATCCGTAAGGAGACGTTAAAGCGATCTTGGAAAGGAAAATACATCTCATTTACCGCAAAAAGAAGAACAAAATCGCAACTTCCGGCGCTTAACCCGATTATTTGTTTCGTACGAGTGTGAGATTAATCCATTTAAAGTACCAAGCTTCCCGTATCGCTCCTTCGTATTATTATTATCATCATCATCATCATCATCATCATCATTATCATCATCATCATTATTATTATTATTACTGGCCGGTAAAGTGATTGTATCTGATGATGAAGTTTGAGAAGAAAGAATATCGTTAATCGGATCAACGAGGTTTAAATCTATAAATATTCATCGTTCGTTTATAAATAATCCCATAAGAAAATAACATTTCATTTTCGATTGGTTATATTTGTAAGTTTTTATGGGAATAATTTATTTCTTTGATATTTATTAGTGTTGAACGATACCCGTCCCTGTATCTTAATCTCGTCGTCCGCAAAATAAACCGGAATTTAACATTTTTTGGCAAAGATCCAAATTACGGTCTCCGAACGAACTCGAAGATCAAATGATTCAATATATGTATATAACAAAGGCCAAAACAAATATCGTTTTAACGGAGATCCGACAAACGAACGAATGTTGAATTTAGGATGGTACATTTCTGATTTTTCTCGAAAATTCGTGAAATATATGAAAATATTTTAATTAATATTTCTCAATGATATATAGGAAAATATAAAAATTGATGTGTTTTCATTGTAATTATCATTGCAATTAATACGTTGCGGTAAATCGGCAATCAATTATTATCAATAACAGTTATAAATTATTAGATCGTAATTAATAACTCTTGAATTTTTCGTGATCCCGAAAAAGTTTACAAATTATTGTAACTTCGTAGAAATTATTTTTCCTCAATGATTTTCCATAATATTCGCTGATCGGTTTATTCATCGTCAACTGCATTATAATTCTTTCTCTCAACAATAGTCGGCAGACTAGAATGAATAATAAACCGGTCGGAGAAACACGTTCTGATTGAGTTAACTGCCAGCAAACGTCATTACACCATCAACTCGAGGACTTAGCATCAAGGCCGTCGAGCGCGCAATCGTATAATCTCGACATCGTATTCAGGTCGTTCTTAGTTAATGTGAACCTCGATGCACCGAGTCTCTCGATGTAAAAGTATAACGTGCCACAGTCTCCATAAAGAAATAAAATTCTGCTCTGGAATTGGTTTTTCTTATTTTTCTTTTCTTTTTTCTTTTTTTTTTTTTTATTACACATCGCACAACATTTCATATCATTAAACTATATAAAAAAAAAGAGAGAGAAAGAGAGAAAGAGAGAGAGAGAGAGAAATATGCATATTGAGGTGATATTTATTTTATAATACCGAGTATATTACTTTAAGAAAGATATCGCTATACAATATTAAATGTACTTTTATATAAATTTGAATATCATAAAATAAGATAGGAATCTTTAGTTTGCACGAGAATGTCAAATTTTTAGAGGGTTGGGAAGATGGTTAAATCGTATGGGTTGATTAAATCTTATTACGGGGTAGGTATCTCATGATATAAGTGCCGACGTAAATGCCGCACGCCGAATCGTCGACACCGCGGGAACCGAATTATATATCGTAAACGATTTAACTTTCACACACATACAAATATTCATGTACAATTTTCAGTCACATCAGTGTATATATATATATATATATATATACACGTACGTACTTACTCTTCCATAGGTCTATGCACCGACCAGTATTATCTTATTTACGATGCGTCGTAATGATACCGCGTTCGCAGTCGTAAATTGCCGAGAAACGTCTCTTAGACTGACACGTAACACGGTGGAGGAGCTTGCACGGCCATTACGGACATCGGCCTTCCAACTTGGATACGTTTTAACTATGCGAGCGTCCTGCATCGATCATCAACGACGTTATACCACCCACGCCGATTATCGATTCTCTCGAGAGTATTCGAGAAAATTGCTTCCAAGTGTTTTCATTTTTTCTTTTTTTCTCTTTCCCCTTTACTTTCAAATTATCAGTTTATTGAATGAAAAGTAATTAAAAGTATACATTTATCGTAGATATTATAAATATTAATATTTATGAGACATCATAAGAAATAATTGCAATAATAATTTTCCTCCTTTTCTTTTTTTTTCGTTTGTTTTTTTCTCTCTTTTTTTTTTCTTTTTTTTTTTTTTTTTTCTTTTGCAAACATCTATAAACACCATTCTCGAGGAACGTTTCGACGTTTCTCATCTTCTGATCGTTCAACACGAACACTCGCCAATTATGGAAACGCGCGTTGAAATCGACGAACGGAAAGATTAACTCGGCTTTCACACATATAAAGCAAGTGACGCCCCTGATCCTGGAGACGTTTACGTAACCGCTTCACGAGAGATGTGGTTTCTCTCTTCTCCCAAGAGAAGACGAGAGCTTGCTTCCGAGCGACATACTTAGCTCGAGATTTCCTCTTTTTATGGTCGTCATCGTCGACGAGCTCGTCGAGCTCGGGTAAATAAATAAATCGTATCTCTTTTCGTAATTGCGAGCAGGGAAGTGCTAACTATGTATTTATTTGATAAAATAAAAAAAAAATATATACATATATATATAAATAAAAGAGACAGAGTAATGATTTTTTATGAAAACTTATAAATTAACAAATATATATATATATATATATATATATATATATATATATATATATAATTTTATTCCATCATTCTAAAGATAAAAAGAAAACTTTTAGTTATGTTAATATCATATATAAATAAATCTTTAAGTAAAAATATATTATTTAGTTATCGAAGAAACTAATAAATCTCAGTCTTCATTCTGTAGCAGACGGAGTGTTAAGAAACTGAGGCATTCTATCTCGTCAGCATAATTATAGCAGGCCAGTGCTCGCGGGAGAGTGCGTGTTATAGCTCATAAATATACGTTTTTCAATCTCGGACAGCTTTCTCGCGTTTCCCTCTTCAATATTTTTGTTGTTCCTGTAACACGTCGCGGCATCCAGCGACGAAGGTCGTTTGAATCAATGCCAGAAGCAGTTGCTTTTTTATTTTGATCTGATCTTTATGGGGTTACATACGAAGGCGAGAGAGCGTTATGGATAGGAGTTAGCCGAGTCGAGAGTGAAAGATAAAGATAAAGATAAAATAAAAGATAAAGGAAAAAAAAACAGAAAGAGAGAGAGAGAGAGAGAGAGAGAGAGAGAGAGACAGACAGAAAGACAGACAGGCAGACAGAGAAAGAGAATCTGTGAGTAATGCCGTCCCGTATTTTCTTCTTCTTTTGCAG